GTGGGTACATCTGTGCTCTAAGGAAGAGCACAGACCTCAGGTTTTTTGTGGTATGTTTGAAAAGTCTCCCTACCTGCCCTTGAGCCCTAGATTTTTTCCACAGTGTGAATGAGACGTGAATATAAACTCAATTACAAGGCTGAATTTAGTTCCAAAATGCTGCATGGGACATCATTGAGGACTGCATGAGTGCAATGTTAGACAGCAGAGATAGTATCCAGCAGAATTAAAGCTTGTGTTTTTTACAGGGAGGGCGATACCATGAATTGTCTTTTATGTTTCAAGTGTAATCTGCTAGGGTGATTTCTGCACCTGTTATTTTTATTTGCAAGTTTGCTTTGGGAGGCTCACAACTGTAATAATTTTTATTATTATTATTTGCTTGGGCAGACTGGATTGGCACAATCAGAATGTGAAGTTTCAGACTTCTTTTTAACACTTGTTCTTTAACGTATGTGTAGTTAAGAGAATCACTAGACATCTAAAAACAGATTAATCCCCATGTTGGCATGATTATTTAAAGTAGAGAGAGGAAATAGGTCTTAATGGTAATAGAGAAGAAAGCAATGTCATTTTTAGTGAGAGACTGGATATAAAAGGGAAATCGATGGGTTAGAGTTAACAGTGATACGTGAGAAAGGCTGAAAGGGAAATACAGATATTCTTATGGGGAGACTGAGATATGGTCCTGAAATCTAAGAGAAGTAATTTAAGTTGAGAAAGGGGGCAAAGGGGAAGAGTTCAGTGACCACATATGGCTGATTATAAATGCAGAAAATGGATAAAGAGTTTGCTGAAACTCAGTTGAAAGGTCAGTGTCTGTCAGGAATGGATACAGTACCCTTACCCAGGAAAAATAGCTGAATCTACAAGATACTATTTTCATGACAATGTTTTGCTGAGAACAAAAAGGGAATAAATGATAATGTACAATTTCTGGAGATTTCCATAGTGGTTTGCCATTAGTAGCAATGCTTACAAAAAAGAGCAAAGCATTGTGTTTTAAGGGTTTTTTTGGTGGCATGTTCTATGTTTTGTAATTCAGTATGTTCTCAAGCTGAAGTAAGGTCCCCTGATTCATAGCTTCAGATTATAGGTAAAATATACATTTTAATAATGAGAAATTACTGACATTTTAGAAACTGATTGTAAAAGTGGTGACCTCTTAACGCTTGCTACTGTTCAGATTCCATTACAACATTTGGACAGGAAAATACAGATAAAATGAGTCCAAATATGTTATTCTATAAAAATGTTTTGATCTATCTAGAGCTTTTAAGAGCTCAAGGGTAATCTGGAGTCTTAAACCTGCGTTAAACTGGCCTCATTTTATTAGTCCTTATGAGTCCTTCATATGTATTAAAAAATTAAATACCTGGTCCATTGATCTTAATATTTCATCACTCAACCAGAAGGTTGTCCTGTGTTCTTTCCCAGAAGTTTTATCTGAAATGGGAAAGGAAAACAGAAAGAGAAGAAAAGGAAGCTATTAAAGAAATTACCATTATTTTCATTTTTTCAATAAAGTAAAAATCCTGTAATATTAAAAATTATTACTGTATCGTATTGACTAAATTACCAAAGCTCTGAAAATTCTGAACTGATCACCTTTAAACTTTTCTACTTGAGGGCAACCTTTTGTACCTCCAAATAATAATAACTTCAAAAAATTAATAAATTAATCTTTAAAGAATATATTCTTAAATTAAAGATAAATTAAATAATATTTGAAAGAATATAGCCTATTCCTCAGAGCTAACTGGCTGCATAAATTATTCCATTCCTACCTTTTGGCAGGGAGAGGCGTGGGGGGGGAGAGAGAGATGTTAAAATTCAAGCACATCTAGAGTTGTCACTGAGATCTGAAGACTGAAAATGAGAATACTGAAGCAATCCTAACACTAAGCCTTTCAAGATGGTATGGTACATATGCAAGATTTCATGCTGGTCTTTCAAACAGAACCAAGAGAACTGATTTACTATCAACTTGTTCAACATGAATTAAACAAACATGTCAGCAGACTAACAACATTCATACTGTAAATAGTATGTACTTCTGTTAATAGAGGTAGAGAGGGGTTGCTCTGCATAATTTATGGTCTCCATGTAGCACAATATTGAAAGAGTACAGAAATTGTTGTAAATTCCTGATGAAATGCAAGCATAAGTCTGTTTGTTTACTATTAAATGTGATTTACTGCAGAGTTACACGTGTTCTCTCTCTCCCCCCCCTTATATTTTTTTGTAGAAGGTACAGGGGGTTTAGACAAATAACAATATAAGCTTTTTATTCAGAGTTAGTGCAGAATAACTTGTATGTAGAATTATCACTTATATTTTTAGATCTTTTAAGCTGTATAGTCTCTTTCTATATATTTTAAGAATACTAAATTAAGATTTGAAATTAAGATGAAAATTGCAAGGAGTTATAATCAAATAACACTTCAAAACTGAAAATGGTGTAAATCTATCTCTCTCAGCTACTTTATATAATAGATGCAAGGAAGACCTGCAATGCAGATTATGCCACCACTCTCTATTTTTCCACAGATAAACAGTTGCTTAAATATAGATGATTTTATGACAGTACTGAGATAAACAGAATTGCATTTTATCACATAGAATGGGAAATACTAATGACAATAATTGTGATATCTATTGTGTTCTTGTGTATAATGCATTTTAAAAAACTCGGTATTTTCATGTAAAACAGAATTGGAGAGACTGATTACCAGAAAATGCTGTCAACTTCTTGCGTATGTTATTCTACTCACCTGCATACCTTTGAGAACAGTTGACCAGTCACTTTGCTCAGACATAAACCTGATTTGTGGTAACTTTAAGAAGTCAACTCTATGCTTTCTTTAAATCTTAGTTTTATTTAGTGATTTACATAACTTATGTGCAAAGGTCTCAGTATTTGGAAAGTTAAGAAATTGAAAAAAAGATGCATTCTAGAAAGTAATTCTTATTGAATGCTGATGTTTGTAATAAAGTTGGAGCTTCCTGTTCAGTGCTCTCATTTTCAAACTCTCAACCTTCCCTTCCATGATGAGTTTTATCATTCTGGAGTGTAGTATGCTCAGTAGAAATCCAAATATCTGCTTAGCTAGAATGGTTTTATTAGCTCTGTTTTCATGAACTCCTTTCAAATAGTTTAAACACGTAAAGTGAGCATTGCTCAGTTTGGTAGGTTTCTTTATTTGCACAGTATTGTAACATACACTTTTTTAGAATCTACACAGAATTACTTGTCGGAATGTAGTTTTGCTCTGTCTTCACTTGTGCCCTCCTCCTTTTTAACCACAAGTACATTATTTTATCTGTTAGATACTGGTTTATTTAGCCTCTATTCCTGGTTTCAGATTTGATTTGTTCTTCTCCCACCGCCTCTCTTCTGTATTGGGCTTGGATATAAATGAAAAAGCTCATTTTGGGAGCTTCACCTACAGCTTGTTTTCTCAAGTCTTCATTAAATTTTGCTCTTTAATTGATTTCTTAAGGTATTTTATGCTTCCTTCAAGCAGCTGACATATAGAAGTTGATGCCTGGATCTTTAGAAATACTGAATGTAAGTTTTGACTGTTAACCTCTTGCTATTAGATTGACAATGCCAGTTTAGACACTGATGATTTTGCATGACTACTAATCCAATCGATGGGAATTGTATGTTGTTATACTAGCTAAAGTTGTAGATCAACATTAAATTGTCATCCAGAGTTCCACCTGCATTTGATTGCTCAGGCAATATAGTAAGAAAGACATTCCTCAGTATTTGTATTCCTATACTTCATCCTATTATCCTACCTGGATAATGAATAACTGGCCTCTTGGGAAGAACACTGAGGACACTAGATGTACAGTGGAAAGTGTGAACTCTCAAACTGCCTCTCATCCTGCCTACTTGTTAGACTGTCCAACCCTCAATGGGGACTCAGTAATTAAAAGTAGCTTTCACTCAGTTTTAGGAACTGTGATATCTAAATATGCAAGAATTGAGGAAAAGGAACACCCCCTCCCCCAACTTTCTAGGAAATAATTGGAAATAATACTATTTCATTAATAACTCTTTTAAGAACAGCTGCTTAGAACCAGCACTGACATCTACAATTATTTTTACAAATCTGCCCACTCCTGTCACACAAATCTTGCTTTGCAGCTTTGCTTGTTCCACTTCTGCACCCAATAAAGTTTCCATAATTTAACAACTTGCTTAAAATGTCTGCATATTTTAATTTTGAATAGATTGTTCTATGCACATTGCTCTTCCCATGCAAGTTAAAAATCTTACCTCTTTTTAGAGTTGTAGATGTGTGATTTTGCATACTCTTTAATAAAGAGAAGTCCTGACAATTTTTTATGTAGAGATTATGTCAATCCATACCAGACTGGTAGAAGTCCTTTCATGTCCCCATTGGAATATAAATTGTATTTTCTTTCCTTCAAAGTATTTTTGCACACACATACATTGTTAATCAAGATATATGATTGACTATATGAAAGATTAAAGTACATCAAAGCATTCTGAATTATTTAGTTGTAAATTTTACAGTATAGCCTGTAATACTAAATAAAAAGCATAGTTAGCATTTCCACTTTCATACTAATAACCTTAAGTAGACATTTTTTTATATTTATTCTTTAGGAATGCTAACAAGAAATAAAATGGAAGGTAAATATATTGGAATGTGAGTAGTTGCTGCTGTCCTTTAAACATAGTCCTTATCCTTGGGCAATGTACAGGACCTCCAATGTTTTCATTAGTTATTAATTGTACTTGCTTTGCTAATTTCGTTCCAGAGACAGAAATATCACCAAGTCATGAAACACTAAGTGTAACTCTTTCTATTTCAAATGACATACACAACAGGTATGAGAAAATGGCTGTAGTCTTCCTTTCAGAAAAGTGCTTTCTCTTAAATCATGTTTCCCCCTTTTAAGAACCCTGATAATAAAACTGAATTGTAATACTTTCTTTAGGCAGATGATTAAACATACTCACCATTATATAATACAATTTCCATTTTATTTTAAACATACTTTGCATGATATAAAAATATTGATCACAGTGAGCTTTAACAATTGTTACTGCTATAAACAGAAAATGCTGCACAATGGTTTTAGTGGAAATAAATTATATAGTCATTATCTCTTTAAAAAAAAAAAATCACAAGAAGGAGAACCTAGGCTGTTTGGTCATTGGCAGAAAATAAGTCCTTATTGAGTTCTTTACAAAACATGAACCCCAGTTATTTTCTACATTTGCTTTCCACATCTTGAGAAAAGCACAATGAGTCTGTCTCTGAAAGCTCCACAGGGTCTCTGGTGAACATTTAATTCCAATTATTAGGAAAGTTTCTGTTGTTCTTTTGTTCTAATGGAAAAATGTACACCAAAATAGCAAGTAGTGCTCTCTTCACTAATTCGTAAGTGGTCTTTTCCAATATGTGGGTACACAGCGGCACACTTCTTCACTAAAAGAAAATCCAGCATCACAGCGTTTCGTTCGGACTGTACATGGCGGTCTGTAACAACTAAAGAAATGAAAAAAAGCGGGCTTTATTATAACATGATCATTTATATTAACCTGGTGTAGAAATCTGTGTGCATTTAGATTGCCATTTCTTGATGGGATATTTAATTCCTACAAACACATATCTTTTAAATTCTGTTTACATTCTTGCAACTACTTTTAATTGGAATACTCTTCACAAAAGACAATGAAAGAATAGTGAATGCTATTGAAGAGAAATTATTCTATTGCAACAGATAGTCATGAATATTTTTAACATATTGCCTGGTTGTAGTCACATTCTAATCTTGAGCAGCAATTTTTAAGTTTAATTTTGAAAATACAGTAATATTTTCCTGTACTCAAATTGGCTTGTTATGATCTACTGCATGCTGCCAGTTTGAGATGGCAGTCCAGGATCAGGTGATAATCAAATCTACCATCTTCTTACCCACCAGGACTGTTTCTCACCTTATTCACTAATGCAATAAGCCGTCTTACGTTACACTGTGACTCTGATCTTCAAAATGAGAACATACTTCCTTAGAATCATAGAATTGTTTAGACTGGAAAAGACCTGCAAGATCATCGAGTCCAACCGTCAACCCAACACCACCATGCCCACTAAACCACATCCTTTCAAGTTGCAAACTCCTATAGACACTCTCTGAGGGCAGAAGGAATATATCTACACTTCATATTGCATCTATGTGCATTCTTAAGTAAGATCAGAGCCTGCACATTAATGATAAATCTTAAAGGAAAAAGAACAGAAATAGTCCTATTTGATTAAAATAAGTTTAACAGAAATAGAGAGTTAAACCACAAGTCACATCCACCTAGGAAGCAGCAGACTTTTTCTTCACAGATTCCTTGACTGAAAAATAGAACTTATAGAAAGATAGTTATCTGTGGTTGTCCCTGAACTCTTCCTTTTCCTATTTTATTTTTCTATTAAAACAAGAACTTGACCTAAAATAACCTTACAATAACAATGCTAAATACTTTCTGGTGTATAATGGAGACAAAGTACAAGTCTGGGGTTTTTTTCAGACGCTGGCAATGAGTCAAAAGACAAAAGTATGTGTTTTGAAATTCAAAACATAGTTATACTTAAAACTTGTATTTAAATAATGTGTGCCTGTTTGTGAAACACTGATATTATGATCTATTACTATAATTCATACTTACTTCAGTTCAAAGACACTACAGTACCCTATATTAAGGCAATGTCACTATCCTCTTTCCTAGGTAATTCTTGTTTTGGGCTTGTGGCTACTCTTATTATTGTTGCAGATAAGTTATTACGTTGTGTGCTTGTTTTGGATACCAAGTTACTACTTTGCAATAATTTGTTTATGATATGAGGTCTGGATTACAGTTACATTAATTCACGTCAGCTAGTTCAACCAATCAACCTGGCTATGAGGAAAACAATAAGGAATGAGGAAGACTGCAAACATTACATTTATTAACTAGTAACATCTTGTTTAGTGTTTTCAATGTCTTAATCATAGATTAGTTCACCAGTGTGGTCTTTGTAATTAAGGGAGTAACATTATTTTGTGCCACTTAATATAGATATTTGAGATCAGTGTAACAGCTCATGGGAATAAAGTTCGGAAACAGTGGCAAAAGGCAACAAAAATGTTTGCCAAAGGATCTAATACTCTGAGCAAATGGGCAACCAGCTATAGGTCTGTTCTGGGAAAAAGGTACTCCATAGAGATGCAATGGAGGAAACATTGAACTCACTTGCCTTTTTGTCTGTCTCTGCTATGAAAGTTAGACTATTATTTCATGTACTGAATGACCATAAAATGAAATAAGAGAAAGATAAGAAAAAAAAAGACAAAGCCAAACTCTTCCACCCACGTATGACATGTTGTACAAAATGAAAAGCAGTCACATAATCATTAAATATGAGGAGGTCACTTTGTTTAGGATTCATGCCTCCTAGTGAACTGTGAACTTCAACTTAACTTACAGTTGAAAGTGCTATAAAGCATCTCTCCCATGTGAGTTTGTGTCTACCAGCAGTCAAGGTCAGGTTACTGCAGCCTTATCCTTATTTGGGACATTTCAACAGAGCAAGAAAGCCCCTCTCCTCCTTTGAAATGCTTTGCAGCTGAGGTGCGTAGTTATCTGGCCCTGCCAAAACTGACCAAAATAAATTTTTGAAGTGATAGCACAGGGTGAATAGCAGCAGAGTCATTGTAACTACATAAATGCGGTTTCCTTAGGAAATTCTGCTGAACAATAGACCAGGTCTTTCAAAAGATTTGGGCTGAATGTTGTTTATGGAGTGCTTTCGTGAGACAGATGTCTGTTTTGATGAGGATAATCTGAGCATGCTGGAGCTAAGATAGATGTTCAATCAATATGTATAGTGCTGGGTGAGTCAGTGGCAACCTTCTCTTTATGGTCAGAAATTGTGATTATTTTTTTTTCCGATTCCCCCCCCCCCCCCCTACTGAATGCCCAGGTTTGTCATTTTGGGCAGTCTAACAACTTCACTGACGAAATTGAAGTAGAAATGCTAATTTTAATGGTGGTAACAGCGTGATCACCTTAATTAAAAGCCAGTATGCTTTATGGTGTTGGTTTTGTGTTTTGTTTTTTTTTCTTTTTTTCTTCCTATTCTGTGCTTTGTAAATGACTTTGTATTCATTTTCTCTGGAGCAGGGTATAACATTAGCGGCAGAGGCATTTTAGGTATAGCACATAAAAATGTTGGTGCTTCAAAACCAGAAGCTACACGGACTACTCCTCTCCATGGGGAGCTGTCTAGGACATGGCTGCAGGATTCTGCTCGTGTTTAGGTCTCAGGCATCTTGCACAAAGTTATAGAGTGGTACTTCCATTTATGTGGGCTCATAACAACAAGGGATCTTTCTTTCAAAAACAAAGAGGGTGTTGCAGCGTTTTTATTTCTTTTTAGAGAAAGCTTGTGGTGGAGAGAGCCAAAATGTGAGAAACCTATGCTATGTCCTTTCTTAAAAAGGAGGAAAGATTGCATTTTCTATTTTCCTTGACAGTGGTAACACCTACAGGGCTATCGGTTGTAGAGCTATAGAATAACACCACATATAAATCTTTCTTCCTCCACACAAAGACAAACAGCTTAGAAAAGAGAAACAGCTAAAAAGCATCCTGTATCACATTGTCCTTGGGAGTGAGAAAGTTTATCGTATTCAACCACAACACCACAGAAAAAAGCTGAGCTCAATTCCCTCCTTCAAATACTAAGTCTTTAAATCAATAGAGGTGGCATCAGATATTTATTATGGCATTTCTTATCTTTTTAAATGCCTGACTTTTCCAGTTGTGAATGTTCTTTTAAAACACACATGGTTTGTATGTCTAGCACTGCTGGAAGCGCACGCTAGAGTACTGCTAAGGCTTTGTAACGTGCTAAAGCTCATGTAATCAGGTTGGTTTCTTTTCTTCTGCAAACAAAATCTGAACAATAGAGAAGAAATTATTTCTCATGTTTCTAACAACTGTTCTATTCCACTCACGAGGCCAAACATAGGAAAACAGGTAATGTCAGCTATTTTTAATCTTTTCCCCTATTTTAGAGACTTCAATACAGGTGTCAGTCCTAGTATTACACATTTTCTCTTTATTCAAGATGAACTAATGTCTATGTATCTGGCAATATATTTATGCCAACTAATTACATGTTATAATAAAAAAAACCCATAAGGTTTACTTTTGATAAGCAACAAATTACCACAGACACTTAAATGTCCCAATTTGCTATTTTCCATTTCCAGTGCCTGAACATTTCTGGAATTGTTATAGAAATAATACCCATATATTAATAAATAAGTGATCTCTCTGCTCCAAGTGGCAGCATTATTTCTGTTTTAACAAATTCATTTCACAGGAAAACTTTCCTCACAAAATTATACAAAGCAGAAATAATATTGTTTGTTTCTCAGAACCTAAAGTCATTCACATTTTTATATATAGACTGCTACCGCTATGGGTGTAGCAGTTGTGAAAGCAAAACCTCCTGTGATATATAAAGAAATTGCAGGGTTTTCTTCCTGACCAAATCCCATTTTAAATGATGAATGTGGGCAGTCTGTTTTATACTTATATATGTCTACTTTCCACAGAAATCACCCAGAGCTATAAGACTTCTTATGCACTCATAAATCTTTAGTATCAGTTGAGTGAAATGAAGGATATGCAAAAATCTAGGAAGTGACAATGAATGATGGTATCTCCAGAACTAACTCCTGAAATCTAATTGGGAATATCTGAGTTATGTGAATTGCAGTATTCAGTTCTTGGGAAAAATAGAGTGGGATTGTAAGTAGCATAAAAAACCAGGGAGCTTAAACTTACAGTCATTTTCACCAAAAGAAAAAAAAAATTCATGTGAAGTAGTAGAAAGAGTACAAGAAACTAAACACACTTTAAAATACTTATTCTGCCTAGTAATTTCCTCTTGGAGATGATAAAAGTCATAGAAGATAAAAACAAACTGAAGGGAGGCTTACTGTTTACTTGAGACTACAAAGCAATTCAACAAGACAGCTGATAACACAACCCCAAATTTTATACCTTAAACACAATGAAAGGGCTAAAGACTGATTTTTTTTACCTGCATGTCTGGTGATGGAACCTTTTTCCTTTTAAGAAGCATTTATTGGGAGATTCTATACATTCACAAATGCATTTTGCAGGATTTAGTGGCTGATGTTTAGGACAGGTCTTTTTACATACACACTGGCACTTATCTTCATCAAATTCCTTGTTGGGCCCACAGGAAGCGGGGAGAAGTTTGTTTTTGCACATGCACTGACATGATGATCTGTCTAATTCTTTGTGAGGTCCACAGCTTGAGGGCCGCACGCCGCCTTTGCAGACACATTGACAGGTTTCTTCATCCAGCTCTTTGTTTGGTCCACAAATATGGAATCCTTCAGATGTGTCTAGAAATACAGAAGAGAAGTTGCACAATTACCAGAATTTTGTGTCTACACATTCATGTATTTTTAAGTGAAGAAACAATAACAAATTCATACCTTTTAAGAAGTTTTAAGAACAAGCATATGTCAAAAGACAGGCAACAACCAGTAATAGTATCAATAAGGAAAAAAGATTCAACTATTTACTTTTCATGTTTTTAATTTCTCCCTTAGGTAAATCAAAACATGGAACTATATTTAATCCTTTAAGCAAAACTGCTTACCAGAATCTCCAAGGTGAGAAGAGAAGACAAAATCATGCTGCGCCAAACATCTGCAAATTTGATTATTCCAAATATGATTTTTTGGACAGGTCTTGTTTGCCACATGACACCTGTGGAATGAAATATACTGTTGATTTACTACCATAAGAACTCAAGGGAAAAAAAATATTAGGTGCTGATTGCTTTTGTTTCCCTCCATTATAAAAACTTTTCTAAGAGCTTTGGCTCATTCATAATCTTATTTTTAGGTCCTATCAGATCTGTTACTAATTAAGGTTCTCCTCACTACAGAAATCTTCAGCCACTTGTTGAAGATACCTGCTCACATTTCAAATTTTAGCTCTAACTTCTAGAAGCTGATATTTGTACCTTCCTAATGTAGTTTAGAAACAGATCTAACCCTTGAATGTAAGCCTCATACATCTGTTTACAGATGAGTATAATACCGCATAGGTGGTAACAGGCATAGTTTTCTACATTGTATTTTGAAGTACAAAAACGTTTTCACACACATAGATGTCAGAAGACAGCTGATACTAGTTTCTGAATGAATGCTGTAGACAAAACTCTAATTTCTAAAATAAGATCAGCTTCTCAGATTCCCTTCCTCTTCATGTACAAGTTATGTGCCTTTAACTGACTCTTTCTCATGAGCCACTCAAATCCTGGACAGCTTTCTTGAATCTAAAGATTTGGACTTCAGCAGTGATGCCTCCTCACTTTAGAAATGAAAGACAATAAACAATTTAACAGTTTAGTGCTCCTTACCTGCCAGAGTTTTGCAGCGCAGGTAGGGGTACCAAATAAAGCAAAAAATCCCAACAGCAGCTGGTGCCTTTTTAAAGAATGACTGAACTTATAGCTAGTAGGTGCACCACAGATAGAATATTTATGTGTATTATCTCATCTTCCTTGCTTGCAATTTCTTTATCACCACAGGTGACATTACAACTTTTAACAAGTCATGCCTAACTTCGTGCATCCTGTGTCAGGCTGTGTCATTTATTCATTGTTTCTGTAGTATGTCTAAAATCCTCATCTGTTAAGGCAGCACATATATTACACATTTTAAGCACTTTTCATTCCCCTGAGCACCATTACTCATGCATTCAAAAATGCAGGTGCTGGGGCATTCTTCCGTGATCATCATTCAAGTATACCACTCCCCTTCACCACATGAAACAACTCTTTGCTTGTAAAGACTGCTGTAGTTTAACATCACCCTGCATCACCTCATGTTTTATCAAGCTGGCATTTCCTGATTTCATTCCGCTAATGATCTCACTCTCGCTCTCTCACTTGGCACGTATGTCCTTTTCCCTGCCTCCTGATTCTGCTTGAGAAATGGTAAGGATAATCTACAGGCATATTATTGTATTCTGTTTAAAAAAAACCCCAAAAAACCAACTCACACCTGGAGCAGCCTGGCTCTAGCTGGGAGTGTTTAACTACAGAAGAAGGCCAAGGTGACAGTATGAAGGAAACACCAAGCGCACATGAACCCTTGAGAAGACAATGTTGATACAAAACCCGAGTTACCAGAACTTGAAGAGAATGTTATGTATGATATTTCAGCATCAGGGTTGGAGACACACCCAGCAAAAGGAACTGGAACTGCTTGTTTACAAATTCTCCTCTGGTTGCTAGTGCAGAAAATTATTGGGGATGTGGCTGAAATTTTAAAATGACTTATTGTATCATTTTAGGAAAGTTCAGGAAGGCTAGGAAAAAAAATCAGAGGCAAAACCACTTTGCAGAAAATTTCACTACCTCTTTCCAAATCATTGTCAACTCAACCAAAAAAACCCAAAACAAACCACCACCAAAAAAAATCAGCATGCTAACTTGTTACCTGTCAGTGTCAGAATAGATAGTGCACAAGAGAGGGAAATACTTAATGTGTACAACATACATCCAAACTACATCTAATATACGCTTATCAGCTCTGTGCCTACCTACAGACCATGGGAAAAGAAGGTCATCACAGAGATTTGATCTGAATTATGTATATTGAAGGCCCCTCTGCTCCTCCCCCCTCCTCCCCCCCAATTGCTAAACTTCTAAAATAGAGTGACAACTTTCTAACTCACTTGCACATTTTGATGACATTCTATATAAACAGAGAAGAGTACAACTTAAGATACCATTAATCCTGGAGGTACTCTGAAACATTGGTTAACATGAACTGACATGCCTTAGCTCCGACAGTATGTAGAAGTAGATACTACTTTTTAGAAGGAAAAAAGGAAAAAAGCAGGAGAACAGGCAAAGACCTCGACCTTAATTCTCAGAATAAAGTTGTGCAGACGATATATTTTATATATAAAAAAATCTGACTATTTGTATTCTATCTTACATGTCATTTCTCGCTTCTTTCTAACATGTGCCTGTGAATCATGGCATAATTCAGCCTTGAATTCTTATTAGATCCCAAGTGTTACTACCTGTCCCGGTTTCAGCTGGGACAGAGTTAATTTTCTTCCTAGTAGCTGGTATAGTGCTATGTTTTGGGTTCAGCATTAGAAGTAACACACTGATGTTTTCAGTTGTTGCTAAGTAGTGTTTAGACCAAGTCAAGGATTTTTCAGCTTCTGATGCCCAGCCAGCAAGAAAGCTGAAGGGGCACAAGAAGTTAGGAGGGGACACAGCCAGGGCAGCTGACCCAAACTGGCCAAAGGGGTATTCCATACCATGTTGTTGTCATGCCCAGTATATAAACTGGGGGAGTTGGCCTGGGGAATCGCAGCTCGGGGACTAACTCAGCATCGGTCAGTGAGTGGTGAGCAATTGCATTGTGCATCATTTGTTTTGTATATTTCAATCCTTCTACTATTATTATTATTTTATTCCTTTCTGTCCTATTAAACTGTCTTTATCTCAACCCAAAAGTTTTACTTTTTTTTCATTCGGTCCCCCATCCCACTGGGGTGGGGGTAGCGAATGAGTGGCTGGATGGTACTTGGTTGCTGGCTGGGGTTAAACCACAACACTACCCTAAAACCAGAGATTATACTCCTAGGCTTTTCTTTTCAGTAATACATAAGGAAGTCATTACTATATTTCTGTTAAAATGAGCATGTACATAAATACACAGGCACATGCAGAGCTGCCACTGTGACAAGAAAGTACATTTCCAAGTTTTGGCTTTACAACAGTTTCACTAGCATTCAAACCTATAAATAAAAACTCTAAGGAAAAATAATAAGTTGAAAAGAAATTGAGAACTTTAGTACAAATTAAAAAACCCCAGTGGGATTCTGAAAAGCATCCAGGCACCCACCAGGAACATGAAAATATCTTTCCTTTCTAGAATCTAGAAGCACTCGATTTTTTTTGTTGTTTTGATGTTTTTTGTTTGTTTGTTTGTTTTCTATTTTACTGTAAAAAATCATAGATTTTTAAACTTAAAGACAGTACTTAACAGGAGAGAAGGCCTGTATATATTCTCACCCAGTACTACTCTGCCTTACCTTTGTTGAAGCATGATTCCTTACTCACAGGACAGCCAGCTACCAGTGAGTGCTGGTCAAAGTCTTGTATCTGTACGCTTACTTCCCTCTAACTACACATAGTTGTTTCCTGGCTAGAAAAAACCCTTGCACTGAGAATTGCCACTGCTCTTAATCGAGAAGCACTAAGAAGCTGCCAACAGTCAGCATAATTTGACTTTATTATTGACTCTTGGGTTTTGATTTTTATAATCTGTTAATTATGCAAATAATTAAACTATTAATAGATTTATTTCCTAATATTTTTCTAAACCACTGTTTATGATCCATATTTTGATGAATAAATTCAACAATTGAATTCAAATAGAATATAACCTGTGTTTAGCTGGAACATGTCAGAAAACATCCAGACTTTAACTGAATGAAAACACAGAGAAAATTACCTAGCTTATACCTCTGGGCATTTTGCACTATTTACTCACTTTATTAAAAATGTCTACAATTAATTCCCATTCAGCTTCTAGTCATTGGTTCGTCCATAAAGCAACTGTTAGTCTGTTACCTATTTTTGGCCTCCTAAATATTTATACATCATGAAATCATCACTCAGTCTTCTAAAATGAAGGGAAGGGGTTTTAATAACACTTGCTTCAGTGCCAGATTTCTTCTGTAACTTTTTTTCATTCAAAAATCACCAAACAAATCAATATGCTAATTCTGTGGAATGTCAATTAATCCTTTGCTTTCCATTTCCATTCTGTTTTGTTTTGACCTCTGGCATATGAAGATGTGCAAAAAGATTTGTAGTTAAAGATTCCCTAAAACCAGGCCTTTTTTAAAACAGCATTTTAAATAGGAAAAGACAGTTTGAGAGAGAAATGTTGTCTACTCCTTATTTGCAAAAGTAAGTATTTCTAGCTTTTCTTGATTACTTTTTGTTTTTTTAAGAAGTTGCTTTTATCGATGTTTCCTTTAAGCCTCAGTCGCATTGTAGCTCCTTCCACGAAACAAACTGCACAAACATTATTCATTTTTAAACCATCTAGCCCCAATTTATCCACTGGTTAAAAGGATAATGTTACTTTAGTAACATTCTCTTCATGTAAACCAGTATTAGCTCCTTTGCAAAATGCGTTCTGCTAGTACTAATGTGTAGTTGACCTAATAAGTTCACCTATCTTAATTGTGAAAGCTTCCAGCAATATTTTAAATCTAATTACATAGGCTTGCTCATAATGTGAAAGGAAAGACAAGTCTCATACTTACTGAGTTTGTGTTGCTGGCAAAGAACGTCTTATGATAGAATGAACTTGTCTGTAAACATCCAACTTCGACATGCATCGGCAGGACGTGTGATTGGCAAAACTGACGGTTACAGGTTTGGGGCCATGAGAAAGAGGCACTGTGATCTCAAACAACTATAAAAGGGAAACCAAAGCAAAGCACTTTTTTTACAGATCAGTAACAGTACAACTAAAAATAATATAAGGACTTACAAAAAAGCTATAAGGAATTTAAGTTTAGGTTTTTGTTCTCTACCGTCATTCAGTGGCATATTCAATTATACTGCTAAATAATCATTATGTGCAAAATGGATACAATAGCTATGGCATGACAATTAATGTTTTTAGTCTTAAACCCTGTTATGTGCTTGTTTGCTTGCTATAACATTTAAACTACTGTTAAAAGACAAAAATATACAAAGAACTCATTTTTCTAGAGGAAATGACTTCAAATTGGCAGCCTTTTAAAAAATCTAAAATATAACATTTGGAAGGTGCTTCAAAGTTGGAAAACAAGAATAGTTTAAAAAAGGAGGTAAGCTACAACCTAATATATCAGTTGCACCATTACAAAAGCTTGCATAAAACAGCAACATATTGGACTTGGATTAAAACATTTTTGGATGAACAAGTTTTGAACTGCAGCATACGATGTTTTTGACTTTCCAGTATTTGTATCAATGCAAATTATAGGGTTACCCTAATGGAATGCATCTTGAACTGTAATTTTTTTTTCAAGACATTAAGAAATTGCCAATATTAATAAAATAATAATGTATGTGAATGAAAAAAATCCTCATTTTAGTGGGAAATGTAGTTCAACTGATGGAAGAGGACAACTTAAGTGATACCTTGTGGAAAAACTGAACATGTGATAACAGACAGTGAGACTCATTTCAGTATTCAATTCAGGACATCTACTTTATCAAACTAAGAAGGTTTCACTGTAAGACTCAAATCTCAATAGTTAGTTACGGCAAATACTTTAGGTCAATGTCTTAAAAAAATCTATTTTGGTAGTATTTTTAATAAGATAATAGTGCACTGTTGCCTTTTAGGTGTTTAGTCACTTTTCCAAGCATATTCAAGAATATTCCTGCATCTTCTGGGGACTTTACTACCTTTAAAAGCGTGGTCATTGGTTATTATTCCAGTTTCAGTTGATGAGACTGTATAACAAAACTTTAATTTTTAGCTGAGATCTATCTTCAATGCTTTTTTTATAATCAATAACTTTATAGTATGGCATATAGGCAGCATGCAAATATAATCAAAATACTGGTAATTTTAAATTATACAAAATATGAAGTACATCTACGGGATGTCCCGAAAACAGTACCTTGCATGGAAGTACACAAGTGAGACTGAGTACTAACAAGCATGCATGTGCAGCGGTATGGGATGTATTCACCAAGCACCCACAGGTAAAAAGGCACTTGCGCAGCCAACAATAAAGCTCATACTATTCGTATACCTAACCTATGCAACTTTAAATTGTATAAAGCATCATCAACTCTGATAGATATTTTCTGTTTTACAAAACAAATTTTGACATTATTTAGTAACTAGATCTTTAAAAAGTTTAACATTGGGAGTGTCATCATAAAAGAACGGAAATGGCAAAAGTATTATATTTGCATTTTATTCTGTTACAGAAAATTACAAAGCTATTATTTTTGCTGCAAAAAGTACCACATCCCCTATATTAGTTTTAAAAGTGGGGGTTTTTTTTCTTCACTAGAATCTAAAAATGCAAACTGGTATATGTTTACTTCTGTAGAAGGAAAACAAAACCAGAAAATAGTTTCCTGCATCTTTCAAATACTGATGAAAAAAACTATCCATCTAGGGAGCCACCATGAAAAGAGTTTCTCTTGTTAGAGTGACTTCTAGCCAAAGCATATTAACATTTGGATTCTTGCTCCAGCTGCAAAATAAGTAACGCTTCTTAAAATTGTGATCTGGAGTCATTAATAAGATAAGGGCACAAGTCCACGTCTAGTTTAAAGTTTGGTACCAATAAAATGAATGCCTAATGATCACCAGACATACCTCCAGGGTTTTCACTAAGTTCAACACAGACTTCTGGAAAGAGACTTTCTAATCAACATGTTATTATACTTATAATCTTTTTGGCTTCCAAACCAATATTGGCTCCTTTACCCTCATCTATTATAAAAGCTCCTTTAAATTAATCACAAAAGGCATTCTTACCAAGATGCCTCATCCCAAAAGAGCAATAATCATAACACAGAATTATCATTTTCATATTAATAGGTTATATGAAAATAGCTTTATGTACTTATTCATTTCTTTTAAAAATATCCACCTACTTGAAGGCCATCATAGGTTTTTTTATGATGCACAAACTAACCAGGAAAATGGAGAGGAGGAAGGTGGTGTTGTAGATAAAGAGACAGAAAGGACCATGTTTATGAAAAATAGCTTTCATTTCTGCATACAGTACACATCTGAGAAAACACATGCTGAGTTCGAGTATCTGTTTTTTTAAATACTGATCTTTAATCAGATGACAAAACTCACCTACATATTCTTCAAGAGTTGTTATCTTTTTTTAAACAAGTTGTGCATTGAGAAGGACAGCCCAACTGTTGAGACCTCTGAAAATCTGGAGAGCTAAGAATCTACAGATGCAAAAGCCTTTACTGTATTAGATAACTTGTATGAAAACTGATTCTTAAAAGACATATATGAATTGAGGGGCAGAACAAAGAATATGGACTTAATTGCAATATTACACACAAAAAGAGAATCTTGTTTTCTCTGCTCTCTTACATTATGAACTTGCTTTTCCAAAGCTGAAGGTAGAAACCCACTGTAGGGGGAACTGAGAAAACTTAGAAACTGAAGATAAGTACGATTCTCTGTGTGGACCAAACTGTAGCTGACTAGAAAAAAGGACATGTTCTGTTCTTCCTCTGCTGTTGGAGTAGATCAGTTTGCCATGCTGCAAAGCATAGCAGACTCCAGACTGCTGGAGATGGCAGTGTAAGACTGTTGCTACAATTCCAAACCACCTAAAAGAGGTCCCTGTCAGCCCAACTGTCCTCCAGTTTGGCTTCAGGCACGCACTGAGAGAAATTTCACTAAAACACCTGAGACATACCAATTGTAAGTGACAATGATGGTGAACGTGAATTATCTTAATCTACATTTATTCTTCCATTTAAACTGTGAGTCAACACTTCAGTTGTGCAATGCAAAAAAAGCCTGGTTAAACAATGTAAAGGTAGACTGGCTTCCTTGACATCACTGAATTACCTTCAGTCTGTTCAACTAAATTCTCTTAATAGCAATGTATTTTACATCACCCAATAGTAGCCACTGCTTATACATAAAGTCAAAAAAACTAAGCTAACTATTTATGTTAGAGATTATATTATATTTGGTATTACATTTCTAGCCTTCACTTTTGGAAAGTGCTTAAGAATATAAACCAGATCTATTTTCATTAATGGAAATGATGGAAGTGAAATACTGGGGTTGGAATTATTGATTTGTTCTTCCTACACTATTGCCTGTACATGCTATTAGGATACTATATTCTGATGCATGCTGAAAAAGGAGATATTTATTCTTCTCTTCTGATCATGAAAATATATCAAGCAGAGATTTCACAAGAAATAAATTCTTGAAAAGTAGTCTGTTATAGAAAATGTATTTAATACTCAGAATAATTCAGTTTAAATAATCTCTGGCATTTTAAAATAAGATCCATTCTAAAGAAAATCTACATTCTGCTCTCAGCTGTGACAGCAGCATCTCTAAATCCAATGAAGCTATTTACACATAAGTGAATAAACTCTCAATATACATAAGCTAGGTTTGAATTATCTTAATAAATAATTTCAAATTAGGTAAGATCTGACCTTGTGTAACACTTTCTGGTTTTCCTAACCGCTAATTTATTTGTTCCTCATCTTCCTCATCCAATAGAACAATAAGCTCAACATCTGTTGTCACTACAGGGCATGTTGGCAACATGTAACAGCCAAATGTCAGTATCTAGAAAGGATATTTCTACGAGAAATAGAAACCATAACATCTGTGTATGAGGCTGGTTCTTGACTCCCATCTTTTCTGGCAACATTGCTGGTTGTGGGTACTATTGCTGGTACCCACATTGCCCAAATGGGTACCTCTTCTTGGAGATCAGATGGCTTATATTTCTGTCTGATCCCTCTTTCAGTAAAGGATTGGTTTTACTGTATTCTCAGAGGCCGAAATCTTCTCCTCCTTCCCAAATTCAAATTGTAGGAAAAATCAGACTAACTCACACTACAGGAAATAGGGAAAAGACATTTCCTGCAGGTCTGTTCTTCAGGGATCAATGCCTAAAGACAAACATTCAGGACTAAAGACCACAAAGAATGACCTTCAGTCCCCAGAAGAACACGAGATCTGACAGGAGTAGGGATTAGGACAGTTTCTTCAAAGTGGAGAGCTTCTATTGCTTGCAGTTTTAAAAAAAATGTTAGTAATTATAGTACATTAAATCGCAAATTAAAGTACATTAAATGAGTATTGCTAGAGTTAGAGGAAAATACTCAAAAGTTAAAAGAAAAAAATTAGGACTCAACTTGCCCGTGTTGTCCTGTACATTTGTGCTACCAACTCTGCAGTGTTAGGAAACCAGTGGAAAAGAACAACTGAAGCAGTATGTGATAGCATAACTAAAGAATATTATATATAACAAAGAAAAAACCCCAAAATTAAACCACACAAAATCACAGTCAAGCTCTGTCCTAACCTCTTTCACAGAAGCTGATATCGTAAACATAAGACAGTAACACACTGTTCATCTCAGCATATAACACATACTAATGGAAGTTCTATGTCACTAAAGGAACAGTTGAAAACCATACACAGTTAATGCATTTCACAAGAACTTAACACGTGCCATTCAGCCAGTCTAAGGCTGTTTTGTCACAGAAAACCAGATGGCAGGTCTTCCAGTCCTTCTCACCATTTCTAATATTTCTCTTCAAAGTACTGTGTTCAGCCCTTGTCTCCGTAGGTCTTCACCCAATACGATGATTCTCCATGCTAACCTCCCCTCATTTCAGCCCAACCAAAGTTTCCCTTTCAGCCAGCCCACAAAGCTTGATTTCCCT